AGCTATGGTGTAGCATTGCAGCACAGCAAGCAACATTGTCTCCAACAAAAATGTGGAAAATACAGCCAAAGGCTCCAGGAAAAAGATACTCACTTGGGTATATCATTTTGTTTGCTTGACTCTGGCTGGTAACACATAAGCCAGATACCTAAATACGCCACTGCTTCACATAAGAGAGAAAGCTTGGGAGAGAAGAGAGAGAGAGAGAGAGAGAGAGAGAGAGAGAGAGAGAGAGAGAGACTGCAGACAAGCAGTCCCACTGAAATGCTGAACAGAAAGGAAAACTCCTGGGGCTCAGACAAGCTGGCAATAATCTGCCTCCTCTAGCCCAAGGGAAAAATATCCCAAGTCCCAATTGACAGCCTGATTTGATGCCCAGGATCTACGTGGTAAAAGGAGAGAATCAACTCCCACAGCTTGTTGTCAGATGGCAAGACAAATCACATGCACTCATGCATACATACACATTACATACTTGCACACACATTACCCACACACACATCACACGCACACACTAAAATACATTTTAAAAACTTAAAAGATTCTTAGTCTTATTTTTTTAAAGGAATATTTACAGGAAGACAAAAATTTCCAAGACCTAATCAAGTGGACTTTCAACATCTAACAACCAATTTTTTAAAAAAAAACTGCCAATAGAACAAAGAGACAAGAAATTATAGTATACAATAAGGAGAAAACCTAGTCCGTTACAAACAACCTGATGATAACAAGTAAATTAAGGTTAAGCTGTTCATTTTAAAAAAGATAGGAAATGGGACTTGGAGCGATGACTCAGCAGCTAAGCGCTCTGGCTACAGAGGCAGGCAGATCTCTGCATTCATTCGTGGCCAGCCTGGACCACAGAATAAGTTCCAGGACAACAAGGGCTATACAGAGAAACTCTGTCTTGGCACCCCCACCCCCACCTCCCACCACCAAAAAGAGCTCTGGATGCTCTTGCAGAGGACCCAGGTTGGTTCCCAGCAGCATATAGTGTCTCACAACCATCCATATCTCTAGCTCTAGGGGATCTGGTGCCCTCTTATGACCTCCACAGGTACTGCACAATATGGTACATATACATGCATGCAGGCGAACACTCTTATAAAAAAGTAAGTCTCAAAGAACCAAGAAATGACCAAAATTCTTAGTGTAGACATAGAAAATGCAACAAAGAGCACATTCCAACATCTAAGGATAAAAAACTACAATTCCCAACCTAAAAAAATAATAAACCACAAAAGTAAGAAAAAAATATCAAATTGACCAAGCCCACACTACAACAGGGAAGAATGAATATCTGGAGAAGATCAGTAGCTTGCCAGTGAGCATAGAGCAAGCTCACTCATAAATGGAATTGCTGGAAATAAAGGAGGGCAGGAAAAAAAGCTGAAAAGTTTCTGTGTGTAACATGAAATACAAACATAAATTTCAAGCGATCCCCCAGTAAAAAAACAACAAAAAAAAACCCACTGTTATCAAATTTCTTTAAATCAATAAAATAGATGAGATCAGGTGTGTTCATGTGGTCTGGTCAATAACATCAAATAAAATGTTTTCCAGACTGGGCAGGGCAGTTGCACCTGTGGGTTCACGGTGATTGTGGCAGCATTGCATGAAACCTGCACAAGCTTCACCCAGACACAATCCGAGCAGAGAAAGGAGGAGCTGGGCACAGAATCCCACCCTAGCTGAGGACGCATTGGCGTTGGGTGGTTGCTGGGAGAAGGAGAGTTGGCTTTCTTCAGTGATGTGGCCTATGGTAGGTCCTCACCTGGGCAACTCTCGCTCCCAAGACTAGCTGGGCAAAAAAACTGGGAAAGAAGACAAAAGGAAATCTCAAAGTCGGATGAGGAAGGAAATGTGTTTGGAAAGGGTGGTGATGGGAGAAGGTAAGAGTGAATATGTTCACAATGCATAAAGTTCTCAAAGAATCAATAAAAATATGTTTTTTAAAAAATGTATCAATGAAACAGAGCATATCTTAAAGACAGGCAGACATGAAGCTCAGCAGTGAATTTCCATCCACAGAAGGCAAAAGATGGGAACAAAACATTGTTAAAGAGCTATAGATAATAGTCATCAGGCCAGAAATGTACACTTAAGAAAATATGCTCTAAACAAAGGCAAAATTAGGTCTTTTTCAGAAATACCACAGCTAAAACCTGCATACAGAAAGGCACTGAGCAAAATAATGTCCCGAAGAAACCATGAAAGGAAATTACAAAAAAAGGTAACCACATGAGTAACCAGTCCTCATTATTTAATTTGTTTTAGAATACAGCTATACCAGGCAGTGGTGGGGCACACCTTTAATCCCAGCACTAGGGAGACAGGAACACATGAACTCTGTGAGTTTGAGACCAGCCTGATCTACAAAGTGAGTTCCAGGATAGCCAGAGCTCTTACACAGAGAAACCCTGTCAAAACCACAACAGCAAAAAACACAACTGGATACTCAAAGAAGAATGAAGATGATAACATAAATGTGAGGTTTAGAACACACTTAAAGCATCTAGCAATTATCATGAAGGATGGGAAGGGCAGGATATGAACAAGCAGATACAGCCCTGTGACACTAGATTCCACATGGCGCGACATCTCCTGGAGATAGATCAGGACCCATCACAGTTGTATGCTTACAACTCTCAAGCAATAAAACCACGTGACTCAGAGCAAGAGACGATGTGGCTCATTGTGCCCACCTTAATGTTTGGACATGGCTGATTGATGACATGGAGAGGCTAACACCATTGGAAGAATAAATCCAGTGTTCCCATGTCCTGAGGGTGGGGACATTCTTACCCAAGAGGTCACTGGGAAGGTGTGGGTGTCTATCAGGAAGCAGAAGGAAGTGTGGGGAAGCCTAGATTGGAGCCTCTATGGCAACCTGATTCATCAGAGCTGGGAGGTGACACAGGTTGGGATAAACTGAGTCAGACCATCTGGTTCTGGTAAACAGTGATTGCTTCTAGCTGTCTGGTACTTGGAGCTGGGTGGTGTGGGAAGGAAATCTTGAATGATGAGCGTGAGTTTGACGAAGGAGTTGACTAGAGAGACAGACTCAGGATTTGTTGTTTTGGTTATGAAATGAAGGTTCATCAACAAGATGTCTCTAGGGTTACCCAGCCCTGGTTGGATCCTTTCTCTAACCATAAAAATGTCACAAAATATAAGAAATAAAAATCACAGTCAATATGAGAAACACAAAAACAGAGACTACATGAAACAATTACAAAACAACAGGTTTTATCTTAATACTCATAGATTTAGGCCCAAATATATCAGTACTAGTACAAACTGTAATAGTCTAAGCAACATATTTAAAACCTAGAGGTTCTCAGAATGGAAAAAAAACATAAAACCCCCATGTAAAATAACCTATTGTCATAAAGCCTACATTGGAAGTAAGGACATCAGGCTGGTGCAAGATGATTCAGCTGGTAAAGGCACTTGCTGCCCAGACTGATGACCTGAATTTGGTCCCCAGAACCCACATGGCAGAAGGAAGGAGGCTACTCCTGAAAGTGTTCCTCAGACTTCCATACATGAGAGGTGGCATGTGGATACACACACACACACACACACACACATCCATACATGTATGCACATATACACATATACACACACAGACCATGAACACACATACATACATGCACATACACACATATACACACACAGACCATGCACATACATACGCATATGCATATACACACAAATAAATAATTTAGGGTAATTTTTAAATTGAAAAGGAAATGAAAACAAATGACTAAGTGTAATATATCTGAGAAACATATGCTAGGATCATAGTCAGAAGAAATACATTTTAAGACTCAAGTCCACCCAGAATTTTCTCTGACAATGATGGAGGTGAACAGGAAAACCAGACTAAACTACTAGAGGCCACATGTCACTGAATAACTTATTGCACTAGAGGAAATAAAGAGAGGAACCGAACAATATTTTAAGTTAGTGAGAATAAAGGCACAGCAAACTGAAATATATCTGATAATGGCGAAAAACACTGGAAAAAATTTACAGCCTGTGTTTTAAAAATGACCTCAACTTCTACCTTCCTTATGCAGCTATTAAAACATAGTGTCATTCACAAAACCAGAAAGAGGAAGAATATTCTCCATTGTGCTGTGATAAACAGCATGGCTAAGAGCAATTTGGGGAGAAAAAAAATATTTGCTTGGCTTTACACTCCCATGTCCCAGCGCATCCGTGGGGGAAGTCATGGTGGGAACAGACGAACACTGTTCTCTAGCTTCTTCCCCACGGCTTGCTCAGCTACTTTTCTTACCCTGAACCACCTGCCCCAGGATGGGACCGCCCACAGCAGGCTGGGCCCACCTACATCAATCGTTAATCAAGAAAATTCCCCACAGTCTTGCCTACAGGCCAATTTGATGCAGGCTGAGGCTCCCTCCTCCTAAGTGATCCTTAGGTTGTGTTACGTTGACAAAATGACCCTCACAAGTCTGATATTGAAATAATTAAAAAAAATACGACCAAAAAAACAACAATCAAAGAATAATACAGAAAAGCTAATGCATTGTGAGTGAGTGGAAGCTCATGTGTGGGGTGGTGTGTGCATAAGGCTGTGCTCACAACTCAGAAAAGTAAACTTGCTGTTGGACTTTCTTTTGGTACCCACCAGCCCCATGTAATGACACAGAGACTTATCATTAATTATGAAAGCTTCGGCGTTTAGCTTAGGTTTTTTCCCAAATCGCTCTTACAACTCAAATCGACCTGTTTCTATTAATCTACATTCTGCCACGCTGCCTATTACCTCTCCTCCATTTTATATGCCCCACTCTGGTGTAGTCCTCCCGCCAGCCGCCTGGGTCCCTTTGCCGCTTTAGCCCCCAAATAACACACGAGATGCTATATTAATTATGAAGCTGTTGCCCGTTTGCTATGGTTCCTAATTGGCTAGCTCTGACTTAATCATTAACTCATAGTTACTAATATATATTTTTATAAGGACTTACCTTTCCAAGAACAGCCAGGCTTGCGTTCTCTCCTCCAGGGCGACGACTCCCTTCACTACATTTCCCAGAATCCTCATAGACTCCTAGTCACACCTGTCTTCCTTCCCTATTGGGCAACAGTGCTTTATTTACATAGACACAGAAGGATTTCCCCCATCACCACTCCCTCCCTCCGTGTCTCGCTGGCATCTTTCACCTCTCTTCTTCCCAGAGTTCCTTTCTCTCCCTGAAATCCTGCCTATTATCTTCTGCCTACCTAGTGGCCATTCAGCTCTTTATTAAACCAATCAGGTGCTTTGGGCAGGTGAGGCAAAAAAAAAAAAAAAAAAAAAGAAAAAGAAAAAAAAAGTTGATGAATCTTCACAAAATGTACACAAATATCCAGCAACATAAACTTAAAAAGACGAACCACTTAATCATCTCAAGTGATGTAAGGCCACATACATCCCTTCTGAGAGCTGAACGTTGTCAACTTGATAAGAAAAAAAAATCTGCTTTAAGCCTACAGTTCACAACTTAGTTATAAAAGACTACATGCATTTACCCTAAAACTGGGAGCCAGGAAAGGAGATGTGGTCTCACCTCTTCTATCTAGCACTGTAGTAAGGGAGAGAGTCAAACAGGGAGAAAGAAAGATGTCCAGATTGAAGAGAAACAATGGTGCCTTTGGTATTGTAGACAAGACACTGTCTCTGAAGAAAACTCCACTGACTCTACACGTGAAGGCAACCTGGACTAATTAACACATGCAGCAAAGAGGCAGGATGGGAAATCCATGCGTAAAGAACCAATGAAAATTTTCTAAACAACATGACGCGGACATTTCTGAAACACCGTTGCAGTGGTATCGAGACAGTTGACTCCACGGTGATACATGAGATGAAAGAAATGAGTCACAAAGTGACAAGCATCACCGAAACCGGCCGAGGAAGAGCCACGGAGTCCACGCAGCGGGCTCTAACGCTGCCGAGACGTGGTTCTCCCCAAATCCAAGCAGCCACTTCCATAAAAGCCTACGCACTCTCAACCCAGCGTGCAAATGCAATCCACCTAGGACAGCGTCGGCAGCATCGGAGAAAGGAGTAAGGCTGAAGGATGTATGGTCCTTGACTTACGTACGATAGAACTGCGGTAATCAAAATGGCGTGCGCGGCCTTCCTGCACTGGCAGATAAGGACGGTAAAGGAAGAGCAGGGAGATTGGAATGAGACCCCCACGTCCTCAGAACACTGAAATTTGGTGGGAAATGTTCGTCTTTTGAGTACACAGGTCTGTGAGAGCTCTCTACCATGTCCATAAGATGAACATTAATCTCCACTTTGGACCATACACAAATGTTAACCAGGATAGATTATAAATTATACAAAACATGAAAGTATAAACCTTCTAGAAGAAAATCTTATTAGTCACACAAAATCTTAGATACAACAAATGAGGGTATGATGTATCAAATAATGTCTCTCCCCCATTTTTTTTAATCATAAAAGCCCTTTCTCAACAGCCTATAGAGATCTTAGGAGGTTGCAGAAAGGAATTCAAGCGGGAAATGATATCCAGAGGAAGAAAGCCAGAGGGATGTGTTCTGAATAAGCAGATGAAGACACAGCAGGTAGATGGGGAAGAGAGATGATGCCACATAAAACTGTAGCAAGGGCACTGACATAATGTTTGGCTCTGAATAAGTGACCTTCCTCAATAGCCAAAGAACAGTCATCCTTTATTTAAATGAGCATAGTACAATTACCTAATGCCTCCCCTACCGAAGTCCACTTAATTCTTTCAATACCCTCCTGAAGTAGACATTTGGGTTCTAATTATAGACACAAGTAACACACTTCACAGAGGAAAGAGATGTGTTCAAGTGGGACCAAGCATGGCTGACTTGAAAAGCAGTTGCTCTGAGACATTCTAATTCTAGGATGGGGCTGTGTCCATAACAAACTGACCAGTAATGAACCATGGGTTCATCTGTATCCACTGAAAGAACTATTGTCTCTCTCTCTAAAAAAAAAAAAACATTTGTGGAACCAGGGAAGATATTGTTAGAGGCTGGAACCAAGCTAAAGAAATTGAATCTCTTGGCTTGTAGAATTTATTTATTGAAAACAAAATGAAAAAAAATCTAACACTAAAACTTAAGGTTTTCAACTCCACTTAAATAAACAAAAATCTCACTTGTATCATCCATATAACAATATCATCCATGGACTTGGTCTCAGAGCATGGTAAGTATGAATAAATAATGGTGTGATGAGTTACTTCTATAAACACAAGTCTTCCACAACTGCCTTCTATAAATTGTCAGCGCTTTACAAACCCTGGGGCTGAAATCTTTTCTGTGACCTCGGATGCAGTCCTTCATTAGCGGCCAAGCACCAGAATGTGTTGTTTTCATTTAGATGGTCTGGGCGCTAGCTTTGTCCTCTTCTCGTCACTAACATTCATCTCTCTGAATCATTCACTTCTCTTTGAACTTGGAAAGCAGGAACTCGATAGCACACAGAATTTAAATCAACTAAAACAGAGATCCAGACAGAACCAAGAAATCCGGGACCTCACCATAGCTCTGTGATCTCAATAATTTCAACACTGACTCGGACTTTCCTGGGAGCCCAAGTGTGTTTCCCTACATTGGCTGATATCACTCTGCTTTCTAGAGAGGAGAAATGAAAGCAAGCCAGACAAGGCTGTCAGCAAAAATCAATACGACTCAAATTCTTACATTAGAAGTTAAACGTTTGAACTAGATTTGCAAAGATTTCTAACCTGAGCAACGACGACTGATCAATGTTTAGCATGCTCGCATCTTGATTTTTCCATTTAAATAAATTGTCTAAGTTTGTAATGTTATGTGGCATTCAAATCTCCTTTTAAAGAAATAACTGGTTCCATTCTAATAGTTAAATGTTTTTTGTAGTATCCTCCCTTGTTGTGAATGAAGTATTTCTGTTTCCCAAAATTCGCATGTTGCAAATGTGATGAGGAATTTGAGGTAAGTGACTATGTTTAGATGTTGTCATGTTGGTGGAGGTCACATGATGGAATTAGAGTCCTTATAAGATGAGCATGGGAACATGCATATACATGTATGCACATGACACATGCACATATATACACACATGACACATGCACACAGACATACACTACACACACACACACACACACACACACACAGAGTATAACTAGTTTAATGAAAACCCAAACCAAGGTACTCAGAGGTCACCATGAACTACCCCCATACCCTGATATATCATGTATGTTGCAAGAAACTGGCTCTGTGAAGGCCAGAACTGGACTCCTATTAACCACCTACATGACAGCATAAGAGAAAGTCCCAGACTCCAGAAACCAGTGGGGCCTGGGGGAAGAAATCAAAGGGCGACTTTATTCCCTAAGCCAGAAGGAAATGAACTTTCTACCCTGGATCTGAGACTCTGGTGGCCCTGGGCCAGGAGCCTATTTCCTAACTGAAGTGTCTTTGATATTGCCAGAATTCTTTATTATGCGATAAATGAAACAAGGCAAAATGCACATGTAAAGAGTCCTAGACAGACGTGCTTGTTATTAGCATGAATGCATGAAGTCTTTCCTCACTGAGATTAGATTGGTTTGTCATCCTTCATCTCCAGCCTGCTATACACAGATTCCTAAAAGACAGTTGTCCCAAATGGGAAAGAAATGGGAACCGTCAAAGCTGAAAAGGCCAGCATGCATTCTAAAATTAGTAACGACAAGAGCATCTTCAGAAGACCAATAATTTACACAGAGTTCTCATTGAATGTGGGCTGGAAATCTAAATGGTTTTTCAATTTCATTAAGCTAGTTACACAGTATTTATATAAGCATGTATACATGTGTGGCATACATACACGTATATGCATGTTCCCAGGCACATGGCATATGTACACTTGCAGGTGCATGTGTGTGTGTGTGTATGCATGTACATATACATATATGCATGTATATATGTGTGTGTATGTATGTATGCATGTATGCATGTGTGTGTGTGTGTGTGTGCATGTGAAGGCCAGAAGCCTATGTCTGATGCCTTCCTTAATTGTCCTATACCTTATGTACTGAAGCAGGGTCTCTCAACTGAACCAAGAGTGTGCTGATTTTTGATCATATAAATACCCAGCTTGTTGCAGGATTCTCACTTCTGAGCGCTGGGATTATAGGCAGGCTACCTCACTCAACCAGCATTGACGGGTGCTAGGGGACTAAACTAAGGCCTCCATGCTTGTACGGCAAGTACTACACCCTTACCCCAATCTCCACACACACACCCCCACTTTATCAGTACATTTCAAAGAGTCACTGCTGATCTGTCTGTGGAAAGAGAAAAGTGGTGACAATGTTAGGATGTAAGTTAGGATAAGAACTTGCTCCCTTTTAAACTTTTTACAAACTTTATTATTTTAAAAAAATCTTGCAAAGAATAAATGAAAGCATCACACACCTAAATTAACCAGACCCAAAGTCTATACACTCAATGAACTTCTGTAGAGTTAGCACCGGCAGTTAGAAGGGAAATCATGGAATTCCACATATTTACCCTTCGGTATTGAGTATATTTTGTGCATTTGTTGACCATCAGGACAAAAGCACCTATGACAAAATCAGAAGTGTGCAAACTGTTAACTTGACATCCTCTTTCACGACTTGTACCCATTACCCACACTCAGTCCTCCCTCACCCTGTCACATTATCAGCTGATCATTCTGAATTGATAGAATGGCTCTTTGACTTTTTTAAGTCACACTTTGTCAACAGCATTTTTTCTAAGTTCTTTTTGTATAATTGTGCTTTTGACCTTTAATAATAGCAATGGCTATTCTTGGCTATCAACTGGACTGCATCTTAAATTAACTAAAACCCAAATGACCGAGTACACCTATGAGGGATTTTTCTCTTAAGTAAATCATTTGAAGTGGGAATTCTAATCTAGATCTTTAGAGACAGGAAGATAAACCTTTATTCTGGGCCACACCTTCTGCTGGCAGCCTACATAATAAAGGACATGGAAGAAGGAAACTTAGGCTCTTCAGCTGCTTGCTCTCACTCTTGTTGAATCCATTCACATTAGAGCCTACTTTTTGAAATTCTGGTGTATACTGAAGACCAGCTAAGACATCCAGCCTTGTGAACTGAACACTTATTGTATTCTTAGACCTTCTGTTTGTTGGCAGCCATTGTTGGACTAGCTTGACCACAGCCTGTAACTCTTTCTACCAAATCCCTAGATAGATGATAGATAGATAATAGATAGATAGATGATAACAAATAGATATAGATAGATGATAGATAGATGATAGATAGACAGATAGATATAGATAGATGATAGATAGACAATAGATAGATAGATAATAGATAGATAGATAATAACAAATAGATATAGATAGATGATAGATAGATAATAGATAGATAGATGATAACAAATAGATATAGATAGATGATAGATAGATAATAGATAGATAGATGATAGATAGACAGATAGATATAGATAGATGATAGATAGATAGACAATAGATAGATAGATAGATAGATAGATAGATAGATAGATAGATGGATAGATAGATACTCATTCTATAACTTCTGTTCCTCTCAGGAACCCTAGTCAATAATATTCCCCTTGTCCAACCAGTCCTCAAATGCTCAGAAAGCATCATCACAGCTGTAAGACAGAAAGGAAGAAGCACATGGGGAAGGAAACTTTTACTCTGACAAAATGAAAGGAAGTCCTCACTGAAGAGGGTGAGCAGGAAGCCGAGGATATATGAAGGCAAACTTTGATGAGGATGCTACCTGGTCCCTGCGAATCAGAGGCTTTGGCTCAAAGGAAGAGGCTGACACCAAGGAACTCAGGTCGACTAACGGAAGTCTGCACAGGCTCCCTGTGGTCCTGTGGGGACCACTGGTGCACAGGCACAGCTAGCTAGCAAGAGCAAGATGTACAGACTGTGGCCTTGGAGGGGTGTTCCCACCCGACGGCTTCTACAAGTGATGCAGCTGATATATAAACAAGAAAAAGTCAGCTTAGTCACCCAGGATACCCTCCATGGTGGTAGCAAAGATCTTGAGGAAACTAGATTGTATTATAGGTTTGGCAAGACCTTGTCATTCCCAAAACACTTCAGAGAGAGGAGCATAAGCTGTCATTTTTATTTCTGTTAAAAAATACTTTCCATGAGCAATTTCCAGGCACAAAGGTTTATTTGGGCTCATGGCTTTGAGGCTCGAGTCCACATTCAGCTACTGACTTAGGACCCTGGGAAGGACAGAAACATCACTACAGACATGTCAACAGATTGTTCTTACCTTGTGGTGACCAGAAAGCAGAGAGAAACATAAACAGACCTGGGGCAAGTTAATAGCCACCAAGAAAATGTCCGTCCCTAGGGACCTACTTCCTCCAACCATATCTTATCTGTCAGCACTGCCATCATGCCAGGGACACACCAAGGAATGAACCTGCCTATTAGATCTATGTCCTCAGGATTCAGTTACTTCTCTACAAACAGCAACTGCAGACCAAACCTTCTCATAAAAATGCTCTGAGAGGATACTTCACATCCAAGGCCAACTGGATCAGTAGTTACGCTCCCGAGATCACTGGTCACCCATCCATGAAGACATAAAGGAGCACACCAGACGCCACTCCTGTGCACAGCAGCTGCCCAGGACCACACCCAGTTGAGGCGATGACATCATCTACCCACCCTCTGTTTCCTGTGCTTTAGAAACATGGGAGGAGCCAGAAGACAGCATGTAGACTCTTCTCCCAGGAGGCAGAGGAGGCAGGAGGGAAGAGCAGTTCTGAGACACGTTAACCTTGGGTTGAACTTGAGTTGTAACAGCAGAGACTTCTACTTTCAATTTCAGAAAGTTTATATTGGCCAGAAGTCTCCAGAGAAAGATGAGTCCAATAGGAGAGCTTAAAGGAAGTTGCAGTTCTCTTGCATTTCAGAGACTTAATACATGAATCTCAACCCAGTTGCCCTCTTTCTAAAGGTCACCTCTCTCCCAAGCTCTGAGAAACACTGTAACCTCTTTCTTTGCCAAGGCAATTCAAGCTTCTTTGCACAGATGCTCCCCCTGGGCTTTGCAAGGCTCATCAAACTAACTGCCTGGCTGCCTTTAGTTTTTTTACCATCATGGCTTTAACCTCTTGTTGCTACCCCCTCAAGTTTTACCAGGCTTGAACCCCACCTTGTCTCCACCTAGGCCACCCTGAATGTACCTAGTCTCCTACAAACCACCTCAGCACTTGGAGTTATATACAGCTTGCCTCCCCCCCTCCCCATGCGGCCATTCCCCCCCCACCCCATCACTGCAGATATAGAGATATAGATATTTCTTAATCTCTTCCTCCACTAAAAATACAGCTACTGTTCAATGACTCTACATTTAATTAGATTCTGTGCTCACAGACTCTGAGAACTACAGCCTTACCTATGTTCTATGAAAGAATGTGTGTTTATGTGTGTGTATGTGTGTGAATGCATGAGCATATGTGTGTAAGAGTGTGTGTGTGTGTGTATGTTCTTGCTCATATTGTAAAATCTATTTCTTCTAACTTGGATTCATGCATGTGCACTTGGTATACACACACACACATTTCTCTCACTTTTCACTGAGCATTAAAATTGGCCTGTATTTTAAGGGTGTTTTTTTTCATTTGTTTGTTTTTTAGATAGGGTTTCTACAGAATTACAGAGTTATGAGATACCCTGTGCATGCTAGAAACAGAACCCAGGTCCTCTGCAAGAACAGTAGATTCTCTTAAACACTTAGTCACTTCTTCATCCCCCTAAGCTGGGCCTCTTTTCAAGCAAAATGAGCAGAAGTAGAAAAGCATTACATTTCTGTCATGTGTGGTATATAACAAATATAAATATGCTTAGGTACATACACACACGTATGACATGAAAATAAAAGAAGGGCTGTTAAGGAAATGGAATGTCTAATGGGGTCAGTAGAGAGACATACATACAAGAGGGTAATGGACAGAAGGAGATATCATATCTCCTCTCCAGTGTAGAATCTGTGGTGTGTGTGTGTGTGTGTGTGTGTGTGTGTGTGTGTATGTGTGTGTGTGTGTCTGTGTCTGTGTCTGTGTGTCTGTGTCTGTGTCTGTGTATTAACCAGGCTACAGGTAGAAGCCAGTTAGCAAACAGATTAAAAATCTTTTTCTTCCTGTATCTTATTTTCTTTTATTTTGGGCACAAATGGAATGATAAACATTTTTGTTCCCATGTAAAATAATTGGCTTTATTACAATATTTCCACCCTCCACTGGTCACTCTAACTTTATTTAACATGAAATCTTCCCTTGATATTCCTGAGATAACTCAGGGTGGCTTGTATTAGTAACTAGCATGTCTGACCCACATCCCCTACTCTTTCTTGACTTACTCTAGTGACTGACTGACTACCATTGTTGTACAAACCCAGTGAGACACAGTCTCAAAGCCATTATGATGGTTACTTGAATTTAAGAAACTTAATTTTTTATATTTATGACAGAAAATAATATAGATGTGAAGAAAATATTAAAGCCATTGTTGAAAACAGTATGGCGAGTCCTCAAAAAGTTAAAATTTTAATTACAGTGTGATTCAAAGTGTGTGCCTGGGGTGGTTTGAATGAAAATGGATTTAAATACATAAATTTAAATACAAAAATTCAGATTTTCAAAGACAGGATCCATGTCTGAGAAAGAACACAGGGTTCCTTAGCTCTCTGGTCTTGGTGGCCTCGCTTGGTAAAAATATTTTACAATTACATCATCAATAGCCCTGCAAACTTTAGATTTTCACTCCTCTTTACACCTGAAAAAAATGTCTATCCTGTATAGCAGCACATTTTCACTTCCCACTCACCAGTTAAAGGATATCCAGGCTGATTCTACACTTCATCTTATCAAAAAGAAGAAAAAGAAAGATCAGTCAAAATAGTTATTGTCAAGGAAACAACAAAAGCAAATAATGAAGGCTGTGGAGCACAGGGAAGAGATCCACACGGTGTATGGTAACGCAAATTAGAGTCGCTGCTGGGAAGGTCAGCAAGGGGGGTTCCTCTAAAAGCCAAAAAGTAGAGTTAGCATAAGATCCAACCTAAAGGATTAAATGCAGCATAGCAGGGAGGGCTACCTGCAAGTCCTGGTTCTCCAGGCACTGATGCCACCAGCCATGGACTCCACTTCCAGGCCTGTGCACAGCTGCTCGGTGGGAAAACCTGGGAGGTCCTGCTAGAAATTCACCTTCTCTTTTGCTACTTTGTTTATTTTTGTATTTTCTTCTTTGTTTTCACTGAAAAGATACTTATTTTCAAATGTTGTAAGTTGCTTTGCAAAACCAAATTTGTACAGGGACTGTTTAAATAAATGTTATGCTAATAGTTAACATTGTAATTTAAAGGATAAGGATGCGAACGAAAAATGCCCATTACAACTTCAAACCAGGTTTTCCTTCAGTTGCGTTTGACCCTGGGTTGGTGGGAGTCTGAGCCTGAAACCCACAGGTGTGGAAAACAGCTTGTGCTTGGCTGGACGGTTCTCATCCCCCGATGGCCAAGGGGAGGTCAGCAGCAACACCATGAAGAATAGTTTTCACAATCTAACCAAGATGTCCGGGTCTATCCCCCTAGTATTTGTGTTTTCTGTAATTAATACCTTAATGAGACTCTGGTAAGTGGTAGAAACAATAAAAACAAACAGAGCCAAATCCAGCTGAGCCCTCTCATCATTCTCTAATCCATCCCTGCCACAAAGGCCACCACTGAGAAACAGTCACTCTTTGTTGACCTCTCTTCATCCATTAGCCACTCTGGGGGGGGGCAGGTAGGAATTTATGTTCGCATAATACAGTGAGAGAAATGCATTTGTATTTTTATTCCTAATCAAATATAGTCTGTTCTAAATCCCATGTCACTGAACTGGTGGGAAATTCAATTTCAGTAAACATGGAGGATCCCTCTTAGATGCTCCTGTGACTAATTTTAGAAGTCCAGGTCTTCTAGATCATTCTAGGAGGGCTCTCTATTCATGCTGATGTACCTGACAGTCTCTTGGCCCAAATCTCTCTGTCTCTTGGGGTCCACTAAGCTTCAAGGATGCCATACCTCTTCCCGTAGACTGCAGGCCCTGCCCATGCCAGCCTTCTGGTTCAGTCCACATGGGTGCTGCACATCAGTGGGATCCAGAATGCATCCCTTCGTACACATCGCTTAAAGACAAATAGTGAAGTTTCTCCTTCAGAACTAAACGCTTTTGCTCTGAAAAGTAAAATGCTCTTGCTGTCTCCTCTCTCGTGATCACATCTGAGTCACCCCAGCTCTCTTTCTTGCATCCATCACTGCCTGAAGGGTAGCATGCTTGAGTCTACACTTCAAGCCTCTCTTGATGCCCAGGTAGCATGGATGTACACTAAGCTACGAACCGGTGGCATCTCTGCCTTTGGCTCGGCTGTGACATAGCAAATTACGACCTCAGCAGAAACCAGAAGCAAACCTGGTTCACCCATCTCTCCCTTGAGGGCCCTAACATAACCACGTCCCATGTTATAATGCTTGTAGCCTCTACTATTCTGGGAACTGAAGGCTCCCCCAGAAGCACTCGGCTTATCTCTCCTAACGAAGCTCCTCCGTAGACTCAGAGCTTCACTCTCCCACTTCAAGTGAAGATGCTGCCGCTGCCCTACTAAAGCTTATCCAAGGGGGCATTTGTCTCAACTTCCTGTCCCCGAGCTTGAACAATCTCCATAGTTAACAGATGTAAGGGAACTCAATACCCCAAGTTGGGTACCAATTGAAGTCAGGGTATTAATGAGTTCGCTAGACCCAAGATAAATGATAAATGGGTGTTTTACTGGGGAACAACTTACACAGGTAATAATAAAGAACCATCAGGGTGTTCCCTGCTCCAGGAGATGTAGTGACTGACCTCACAGCTGCAATCCACCCCAAGCCTCTCTCTCTACCTTCCCCTCACATCTGCACCTGTAGCCATGCCCAAAGGGGTGTGGCCACTAACACAAATTTACTGGCAAGATGAGATGCTACTATAGGGCTGCATAGACATTAGAGATGAAGACTTTCTGTTTTTTGTTTTGTTTTGTTTTGTATTGGTTTTTTGAGACAGGGTTTCTCTGTGGTTTTGGAGGCTGTCCTGGAACTATCTCTTGTAGACCAGGTTGGTCTCGAACTCACAGAGATCCACCTGCCTCTGCCTCCTGAGTGCCGGGATTAAAGGCGTGTTCCACCACCGCCTGGCAAAGACTGTTTTTTATAATACGACAATTATTCATCAAATGCTTGCTGCATTGCTAATATGTTCAGGACACTGAGATGGAGAGAAAGAAGCAATGACAAGATAAACAGAGAGAATGGCCATGGAACTAACACACTAGGAGGGTTAACTACCGCTCAGGCCACTGCCTCCAGCCCTGTGTCCCAGCTGTAGTATTACTGCCCTTTGTGGTCAAGAAAGGTGTCTCCAAGAAGCAGCGTTTGTACTGAGATTGGAAGAAGGAACAAATTTTTCTGGGTGAGATCCTTCTCACCAAGGAGGGAAGAGTGTTCTTATCCACTGACTGCCCATGTAAAGGCTCAGCATGGGGGCGGGGGGTGTTGGATAGATCACCTGAGGAGCAGAAGGCAGCATTGCACAGTGG